TTTCTCTGCTTTAAGGGCGCCTTACTGAGCTGCTGGGTAAGTGCATTTCCTTCCCATCCCCATCTATAAATTCAGCATACAGACGGTGCAGATGCTGCCGGGTTATTTGGTTGCACCGATGGCTTTTTTTCATCTCTTTTAGCAGAAGTACTGCTACGCCAAAAGCAGCTATAATTTATCAAAATGTAATTTGGAAAAAATAACAGCTAGGAAATACAAGATTGCTGGAGTCAAGGCTTCGAGAGAGGTGCTTTAGCAAAGTCCCGCAGAAAAAATGGTAATAATTTCTATTTCTGTTTGCAGAGGACCGGGATTCGGAAGTTCGTAAGTCTATTTGTGCATCTCGGAGAAGTGAATCCTCTGTGGGAAGCGGGATCCCCTAAAATGGGTTGTGCTGGTGCTCACTTTCACCAAAGAAATATGTTTGATTTAATTATTAGTTCAAAAATGTATGTATATTTGGAGAAAATACTCCATGAAATATATCAGGTCTTAGAAGAAAATGTCCTGGAGATCTGATTCTCTGTCCTAAATTATTGGAAGAGTCTCTGTTCATTTTTTATTTGCAAGATTTTATCGCATGGATTTTTTTCTTGCCCTTCCATGGAGCAATATGCACGAAATTTTAGAATCTTGCCCTGCAAGTGTCCTCGATGCAGAAATAAAAAGAGAACTATCCGTAGTTGAGTGTGCATAACCAGTGCTTTTTTTGCTAAGCTGGGTGACTCTCTTCTGCAGAGCTCATATGTAGTAAAAATCTAAAATTGGAGAAAAACAGGGTTTTATGCATTTCTATTCCTTTTTTTTTTGTTTCCTTTTTAGGAAAACAGAATGCTGTCATTAGTAAGTGTCATTCTTCCTCTCTGAGAAATGCGATGCTTGGGGGTCACGAGCAGGATGATGTTGCTGCTACTGTTTTGGCTTAGTATTTTGGTCAAAATACCATAAATTAACTGAATTAAGTAAAAAAAAAAAAAAGGTGAATTAAGAGTCATGACAGTATCTGGCCACGTTAGAGGATTTGGTTACCTTGAGTTCCCCCGTCAAGACCCTCTCATATCCATGGGAAGGAAAAACACTGATGAGAACAAATTTTATTTTCTCCTTTTTAAGGAAAATTAACGGAAGAGCTTGGTAAGGCATTTTTATTCCTTTTACAAAACTGATTTGGGATTTTTTTGGTGGGTTTTGTTGCTTTTTCTTATAATTTGGGTTGGCTGGTTGTATATAGTTTTTGAGATAACTGTAGAAGCAGATGGTGAAAGGGCTACTGCAGGTGACTTTTAAAAATAAAATAGTAACAGATAACAATAACGCACAAAAAAAAAATAGCAATGGAATAGAAATGAGCTTGTATCCCGATACAAAAATCTGCGGTACAAAAAGAAAATCTGTGTTTCACCTTTTTCTTTTTCTCTTTTCTTTTTGTTAGAGGAATTAAAGGATCAGAAAGCTGGTAAGTGATATTTTCCTGCTGTTCTAAGAAATTTAGAAAGTTCAAGAGTGTTTGTAATTACGTATTTTATAATATATTAATATTTATAATATATTATTTACTTTACTATGTTTGTGTGTGTATATATTTAAAAAAAAAAGTGTGTGTGTGTGATATATGTGTTAATTTCCAGACTAAAATGTAATTTAATTATGGGACTGAAACAAAATCTATGGGAGTCATGATTTTTTTTTTTTAAATGCCTTCAAAGTGGTAGGACATAAAACACTTGGATGATATGCTTGGGCATATTTAGGGCTGGTGATGCCAAATTGATTCTTCTCATTCCTTTTGCAGATGAGTCTTCTGAGGAGCTTGGTAAATCTTTGTTTTCCTTTTAATTTGACAAAAAGGGGATGGATCAAGTTTTGTGAAATAAATCTTGTTACATGCATGTTAGGTTGACGTGGCTGGATTTTTTTTTTCTTTAAAAAAAAATATGGTGTGTGTTTAATATAAGTTGCAAGCTCATTTCAAATCCTAGTAATGAATGCAAATAATATCTGGAACAGGGGTGCCACTGAAATGATAGAGGCTAATAAGAATTCTGATTTTTTTTTTCTCCCCTCTTTTTTTTCTTTTGTTCCCAGAGGAGAGTGATACAGAAAGGGGTAAGCATCATTTTCCATCCTGCCAAGGCAGAAAACCATTTTGCTTTGAAGGAAGCCTCCTTAAGTATGTGATGAAAATTTTCTGGTTTTCCTCTTTTAAGACAAACTCACCGAAGAACTTGGTAAGTAGTTTCCTTCCTTCACCAACACCAAATACTCAACATTTATTTTCACCTTTTCTGTTGGATTTGAGTTTGGTCAGAAGCTTTGTGGTCTGTTATCACAACAAATGGATGAAGTGGACGTCAGCAAAGTATAATACTGAAAAATTTAAAAAGAAACTGAATTTTACATCATGAGCAAAAGCAGCTTTTTACATTTCTCCACAATTTAATGCAATAACTGCAAAAGTGGAGGAACTTTGGTTCTTCAAATAGTGGACAGAATAGATAAATAGTAGAGGAGGAGAAAATATCTGGGGAATAAACAGATTCTAATGGAAATCCATGGTTTTCTCTCTCTTAAGATGAAGTCACGGAAGAACTTGGTATGTGATTTTTTTTTTTTTTTTAACCTTTAACAAAAGCTTTTCTAAAGCTTTCTGAGTTTTCTTTGTTGCCCAGATATTAACTCTAACATAACAAGAAATAGAGGCTTAGATAGAGGGAAATGAGAGCCAACAGAAAATGGAATTTCATATAATAAATTACTAACAAATAAAGGTGTTTGGGAAAAGTCCTGCCTCTGATATCAACAGATACTTTTAAATTATATTTCATCTTGTTTTTCTTCCTTGTTTTTAGGGGAACGTGATAAAAAAATAGGTGGGTCTTGTCATTTCCCAGGTCCTTTGGGGCATATTTGGGCGCTCTGGATGGGTTCAGAGCGGAGGGATGCTGGCTGTGTTATCCCAATCCCCGGAATAGCCGAGGGAGCTGCTTTTCCACCCCTAAATACCAAATTCCCTCACTGTTGTTTGAATATTGGGAGAGTTCATGAGATTTCTTTCGAGATCTTGTATTCTTTCAGCCCTCCCGAGGTACCAATTGAGCAAAGAAATCCTAATTATTTCATTTATTTCTTTCCTTTAAGAGGAAATCACTGAAGAGCTTGGTAAGTCATTTCTCTTTCCTTTCTCTCTTATATTTTCCTCCCTGTTACTCTCTTACATTGTTTTGAGTTTTCTGTTTTCTTTTTTATGTCAGTTTAGAAAAAAGAAATCATGGGCAAAGTAAAAAATAATAATAATAACACTAATCAACAGTACAGCATTGCAGGGAAATTGTCGAGTTGCAATTTGTAGGTGATACAAAACCTCAAAAAAATTAGGTAGGACACTTTTAAGATTTGGGGTTTCTTCCGTTTTTTTTTCCTTTTTTCAGCTGAACAGACTGCACGGATCAGTAAGTGTTGTTCTCTCTGCCTTTAATAGGATGGGAAAGCATGGGGGGGTGTAAATATTGCTCTGAAATAGAGGTCTTTTCCTTTAATATGAGATAAAAGGGCTGTTCAAAAACTTCACATCCTTGGATGTTACTTATTGCTTCTCTCCGTTCTCCCTGGGCCGCCCAAATGCCCTTCTGTGTTGCATTTTGGATAATAAGGAGTTATTTTGGGTCGGTTTTCTGTTGCCGAGGGCTCTCTTCGATTCAGTGGTGCTTAACTCCACTGAGAGCAATTAAAATTAAAAATCCAGAAATGTGTTCTTGAAGAGAAATGTAGAATCCCCCAGCGAACCACTTAGTGCGTATCTGTAGGGAAGAAAATATAATTAAAACCCATTTTCCTTTTGCTGTTTCTAGATGAACTCACTACAGAGCTCGGTAAGTCCTTTTAAAAAAATCACATTTGTGCAAATATCTTGTTTCTGTTTAGTTTGGGTTTTGGTAGGAGCAAGTCATGACCTTTGCTTTAAGATTAGGAAAGTGAATTAGGGGATGGGTTAATCTATATAAAATCTGAGGCAAAATGTGAATTACAATTCTAATTCTCTATATGGAATGGAAAAATAGCAGATTTATCTCTAGATGATGAACACACACACAGAAGGGGGAGTACTTAGGAATAACTTTTTTTTCCCTTTTTTAGGAGAACGTGATACAAAAATTGGTACGTGTCCACCTCCTTCCTGAATCCCACAGAACTCAGTGCATGGGATCATGACTTTTATTTTAATTATAATAATGATAATAATGAAAATCAGTATTTTTTGTTCTTTTTTTAAGACAAACTGTCTGCAGAAATTGGTAAGTGTTTTTCTCTGCCTTCCAACAAAACAAATACAGTCTGTGGACTGTATTTTGCTTTTATCTTTTATATGAAGGAAAAATATAGGTTATAACAACTTTTGATTTTTATTTTTTTCTTGTTTTCCTTTATTTAGAAAAACGTGATAGAAAAATTGGTGAGTATCAGACTTCTTCCCAAGACATGAACTTAGTGTGTTTTTAAGATCCGTGTGATCACCTCAGTGTGAATTGTAATGGAAATCCTTTCTTTTTTTCTGTCTTTTCAGATGAACTCAGTGCAGAGCTTGGTAAGCCACTTTGTTTGCAGGAAAGAAAGATACACAAGCCTGTGTTTGTCTCCTATATTTTTTTTTATTGCTTATGCTTTTTTCTGAGCTACTTCGGGGAATTTTACGGAAACCTGGGCTAATGAGGATAAAGTAGAAAGATGCATGCATTATATAATATATTATATTTTTTACATTATATATTATATCTAATTATTCTACTATGTAATAATATATTAATATATTATTATAACAATATTAATAACATATAACTATATAATCAGTGCAAACAATAATAATCCCTAGGCACAGAAATATATTTTTGCTGTGGGAGCCAAGAAAGTCTTAGAAAGTCGTAACACAAAAACGAAGAGAAATGTGCAATAATAGTTTCTATTGTTTCTCTTTTCAGAGGAATACAAAGCAAAAATGCGTGAGTGTCCCTTTCCTCATCTTCTGGAGCAGTAAAGCATGTGTGAGGTTTTGGGGGCATTTTGGAATAGCTGGGCTGTGAGATTTTTCTCTTTTTAACTTCTGTGGACTTTAGTGTCGTGGAGATCACCTGCAAAAGGTGAAAATATTGGTCATGACTTTCCAGAGCACCCACGCACCTTCCTCCCTCTGCAGACTATACAAGCGGTGCCCTCTAATTGTAGCAGAAATTCCTGGTATGACCAATTACAGCTTTTTTTTCTGCGCGGTGACTTCTACCTGTTAGTTTAAACCATCCTTTTTTTTTTTTTTTCTGAGATTTAATCTAAATGACAAATCACATTACAGACACAAGTCTCAATGAGGTCTTATTTCACAACAGTTTAATCTCATGCTAGGAAGAAAAAAACACTTTGAAGGGGGGAAGGAAGGAAATAAAAAATTGGCATGAACTGGAGGCATCTTTGGAATAAAAATCCCTCATTGACATGACTTTTTAATTTTTTTTTTCTTTTAAGGAAAATGCATTGCAGAGCACAGTAAGTGCATTTTTCTCCCTTCTACAAATACCCCTTTTGCTTTTGGATTTAAGTTTACAATGTCATTAATAACTAATTTTTTATTGTGCCTTTTTAGGGAAAGAGGAAGAAAAAATGGGTAAGTAATTTAGAGAAAGAGGAAGAAAAAAATGGGTAAGTGATTTGGTACTCTGGCTTGCTGACCGGTGTCATGTATATGTGTTATGTGTAGGGAAAGCTGCACATCAAGTTATCGAGCCTTGAACTACAGAAAGACAAAACACCCTCTTAGATTTGCAAGAAGACACCAGTCACCGGGCAAAGGGCATGCTAAATAAGTTTTTTCATTCTCTTTTTCTCGCCCTCTCCTTCTTCTTCCACAGCAAACGTGACGCTGGACCCGGAGACAGCCCACCCTCGCCTCATCCTCTCCAAGGACCAGAAGAGCGTGAGATGGGAATACATGCTGCAGGAGTCTCCCGACAGCCCTGAGCGGTTTGACGCCGATCCTTGCGTGCTGGGTTGTGAAGCCTTCACCTCCGGGAGACACTACTGGGTGGTGGATGTAGCCGAGGGACAGTACTGCGCCGTCGGGGTCAGCAAAGAGTCTCTGCAGAGGAAGGCACCCGTCAGCTTTAATCCCGAGGAAGGGATCTGGGCGGTGCAGCAATGGGGATTTAAGAACCGTGCCCTCACCTCCCCCCCAACCCTCCTTAACCTGCCGCGGGTCCCCAAAAAGATCCGGATCTCTCTAGACTACGAATGGGGGGAGGTGGCGTTTTTTGACGTTGAGAACAAAATACCGATCTTCACTTTTCCTCCGGCTTCTTTCGCTGGGGAGCGGATCCGGCCGTGGTTCTGGGTGGAGTTGGGCTCAATTTCTCTGGTCCGATGAACCTTGCGTTCCTCCTTGTGCAGAGAGTTTAGTGCCGGCAGTGAGTGGGTGGCTTGAAGGGCAAGAGGAGTGGTGGAAGCACCTTACTCCATCCAGACACCAACAGCTAGGTGGTTAAGAGCAGCAGGATAGAGACCAGGATAGAAATGCTCTCGGGAAGAGCAGCGTCAAACCTCATTCTCCCCCATTCCCAATCAAGTGCTGCAACCATCATCGTGCAAAGGAAAGGCAGCCCATCCTGCATGTCCTCAACATACGGTGGCAGAAGGTCTGCCTAGCTTGTAGTTGCAGTTCCAGCATAGAGGAACATCAAATGACCTGCAGAGAGATGTAGGCTTCTCCTTTGGTTGATGAAAAGAGATGGGCACCAGGGTAGATCACTGTTCACGCTGCCTGTGTCACCTGAGTGGGAGTGCAGGCTCCCACCAGCGTTTTCTTCTCATCAGTTGGTGGCTGATGTGTAGATTTCAACCGTTTGAGCCGCTTTTATAGTAGGCAGAGGGAAATAAGTGCTTCTGGTGAGCAGCTCATCTCATCCAGACATAGACATCAAAATAGGACAGGCAAATCGTGCTTTCTGTGTGCCTATCTCTCTTCACCAGCTGTTGAAGAAATCTACACTTGGAAGAGATTAAACAACTCTCCTTCGCCCAACCTGCATACGAATCCAGGCCCGTTGCCCTTGGCCAAAGAAAGGACATGGAAAACCCTCTGTGACTGTCCTCAGATCTCCAAGGTCAATGCTTGTCATTGCCTGATCAAGAGCCTGATCAATGCTGTCAGCTTTGTCCACCGACATCTCCACAGATTTCCTCCCCAAACGCTCCAGCCACTGTGCTGCTGGTCGAGGCATTGCTCCTGTAATCCTTTATACCAGAGCTGGATGCAGCCAGGTCCTCTGGCAGGACTTAAATCTGGTCCGGGCAGATGATTTTATTCCAGCTGGATTAGCCAGAGTCCATGAGTTTAGCTCAGCCTTTGGGAGAAGTGAGAGAAGGCTGGATTCAAGACCAAGCAGGCATCATGCCCTAAGGTGAAAACTGGGGTGCCAAACATCCAGACCATATGAATTAAAGGTTTAAAGAGGCTCCCGCCAGCATAGAGCTCTGCATCCTGTTGCCAGTAAAGCTTCCAGTGAGGTACTGGGAGCTCTAAAACTAGATTCATGGAGAGGGTCAAGCCAGTGCTTGAGAACAGCATGGGGCCAGCTGTGCTGGAAGGTGGGCGATTAGGGACATCTCTAAAGCTGCTAGAGTGGATGGATGCAACGGTCTTTCCCTTTCACAACATCTCACTGCACTTTAATAGCACCAGTGAATTCCTCTTTAATCCCTGCTTGTTCTTAGCCACCTGTAAAGCCTTAAATCTTGTCTTTTGCCCCACCATGGGACAGCCAACTTGTTGTTCCCATCTGACAATAAACCACTTGAGACTCGCTAGAGAATTTGATTCCTTTTTCCAGCTGGTTCAACGTGGAGGCCCTCCTGGCCCTCTTGGATGATGCCTGCAGCCTGTATGATCTCTCCTTGCAGGCATCTTGCCCCACTTACCCTCCAAAAAATTGGGGGACAGTTGAGGGGGATCCCACTGGGGAGGAATGCTGTCATCTCCCACCCGTGAGCAACGGCCAGGGCATCTCGAGGTCTCAGCCCTGTGGTTTTGGGTTTTAATTCCTGTGGCTTATTGGGCCAGAAACTTTCATTATCGCCTTGCAACCCATGTTTGTGGTGGCACTGTTGTAGGGTAGGCAGGAGGAGAGCCAAGCAAGGGGAAGAGGGAGAAGAGGGACAGACCATTTGTGTCTGAGGGCTTCAAGATGGTAATATTTTAGCTAAGAAAGCACACTTGCTGTAGCAGCTCAAAATACCATTTCTTCTGTGAGCAGACAGAAATGGGGGGGGGGGATATATAATAATATATAATATAATTTTTAAAAATCCTCTATTCTAAGTAACTATCAATGTGGGAAACACCACAGAGGAGAAACTGCCCTTCCTCCTTGCTGGAAATCACTGCCAGCAACTTTGAAGCACAAGTTTATAGAGCTGTTTTTTGCTATAATTAAAAACTGCAATCAGGAAGGTCTTCCTGTGCCGCTTGTAACCCATGAAAAAGGCTGGACACAAGATGAAAAAGCTGCCCAGCTCTTTATTTAAAGCTGTTGGATGACTACTGTGCTTATTTTTCCCCTGGTGATGGCCAAGGCAGGGGGTGAGCCCCTGGGAGGTGGCTGTGCTTGGACAGTCCCCGTGTTGCATGGTGGCGGATGCTCCATCTTCTCTGGTAGCCAAAGGTATTTTATCTTATAGCTGAAAACGATGAAGTGTTTTCAATCCAAGCTTTATCTTGGATTGAAAAATCTGATTTGAGGACACTGAGCCACAGAGAGATGTAAATGAGCCTGTCCCTGGCAGAGAGACACCAGGCAGCACATTCCTCTCCGTGTTTCCTTAAATAGGGCTGATATTTTCCCTCTATCCTCCGCGTGATCCGACTCTGAGCTCGAACAGCCCTGGGGTGGCTGGAGAGAAGCCCTGTGGACTAAATCACACACACACACACACACACACACACACAAAAATTCTGCAAAGACCATGTGCTGCTGCCTAACGGGTAAGTGTCTGGTTTGGGACGGTTGGGGACGTCCCGGCAAAGGGAACCGGCAGCGTCCCAGCCACCCTGGCACTGCCGAGATGTTTCTCCAAGTGTAAAGATGCAGGGCTGTTAAATTTGGGGTTGCTGTGGTCTGTCTGTGCAGTGCAAGCTGGGGGGAGGGGGGGGGGGGTTGCTGAGCCTGCTTCGGCGATGCTTTCAGGTTCTGCGTCTGCTGCATCGATCGATTAAAATTGGTTCCAAATAAAAGGAAAGCAGCAAGGAAACATAAAAGTTGCTTTTCCAGCATGGTTTTCTGAGCACATGTGCACTGTTGGGGGGTTTCTGCGTTGGCAAGTGCACCCTAAGGCTTCGGTCCATGCTTTGAAGGGTGGGAAGCAGATGTGGGGGGACACAGGTCATGTACCAGCAAAGGAGCAGGTTAGAGCCTGAACTTTGGGGATGAAATGCCAGTTCCCGCCAGGTGGGAAGGTTGGCTCCTTCTCCTTTGGCCATCCCCAGAGTAGAGACACCAGCCTGAGATGTTGATGCCCGTGGTGCAGACTTGCACATAGGTGAGAGAAACCTCAACGCCCAAGAGGGGGACATTGAAGTCCAAGGTTTGCAGGAGGGCAATTCATTCCTTCCTAAAATTAACATCTAAAAGAGGTTAGAGCTTCCTTCCCCTGTTCCTCCTTCCTCCACCCATGCTATAAGTTCACTCTGCTGCAGGTAGCAAGGCGAACAGCAACAAGAGAGGCTGGAGAAGCTGCTGCCATGGCCTCCGGTTCATCTAGAGCAAGGGAAGGGGGAGAAGGAAGCACCCACCGCACTGTCCTGCAGCATCGGCCAGATCCTGACCGCCTGGGCTGTGACCCCACCGGCTGCGGAGGTGGCACAGCCCGATCCTGGCCGGAGCGAGGAAGGCTTGGAGATGCCGAGGCAGTCGGCCACCGAAGCCGGTTCAGGAAAGGAAATTTCCAGCCAAAACAGCATTTGGAGCATTTAGCGGAGAAGCTGAAGCTCTTGGATCTGGAAGGGGGCAGGGAGGAGAAGGAGCATCTCTGCTCGTGGCGCAAGAGGACGATCGCCTTCAGGGGTGATGCAAATGCATCTGGCTCCAGCCATGATGGACCAAGGGCTCATGGAAGTCCCACTACAGCCGATGTAGAGGAATCTGCCCAGGAGGACAGGGTCAGGTCCATAACTGAGCTTGGGTTTTTCCTTTTATGAAATTTTTTCTGACCGCCTTAAGGGATACTGGGGTTTCTTTGATCTTCTCAGGATTACAGGCTTCAAGCCAGCTTTGAAGTTCTCTGTAGTTGGGTTTTTTCACCATGAAAATACATAAATGGAAGTAAGTGGGGAGAGCTAGGAAAAATAAAAACAACACACTTTTTGGCTAAAAATATGAAAACATTATTAATTTTCAGACTAAACCCTTTGCCCCAAATCAGTCAACAGCTATTTTCCAATTAATTTCATGTGAGAATGAAACCGTCTCCTCTGTTGTCCTCCTGTGTCTTCTCCATCCTTGTGCCCATGCTGCAATTTTTTTTTTTCCCAGACTGGGGGGAAGTGTTCCCAAGCATCCCATCCCTTCCCTACTCCCCCCTCTCTATACCCTCCCAAACCATTTTTCTTCTTCCAGGAGCAAATACACAGTGACCTGGAGAAGCTCAAGAAACAACGAGAAGATATTTTGGAATTGAAAATAAGTGGAGAGAGGCGATGTCAGGACTATTTGGTAAGTAGTTGTTGCCATTGACGTGCGGAAAACAGACTCCACAATCAGTGAGATTGTAAAGTAGGTATGTTCATTCAGCGCTGGGCAGCACGGGGGGTAGTCCCACCAAAGTCGTGCGCGCCTGATTTGGCAGTTCACTTTAAATTTATACAGTCAAGTGTTACATATACATAGAGTTTCACAATACGCCTATACATAGGCATTACCGATCCCTGCTTCATATTAAAATTAGCTCTAGGAAGTCATTTCCATAGTCTTCTCTGAACTGCGCTTGCGCAGGGCCTCCTTATGGTGGTCACCTGGTGGTCGTGAAGATGAAGGCTGTATGTCTTCTTCACGGTGAACTCTTAACCTTCTGTCCCTGCGCAGACTCAGTTGTCCCTTGGCATTTGTCCAAATCACAAGGTCGGTCTTGGCTGGTTCTTGGAGCCACTGCTGCTTCTTATCAGGGACTATCTCCTGTCCCAGCCAGCCTCAACAATGCAAGCGTTAAACATCACTTCTCATCCCCTTGGGCCATGTCTACCTATATTGAAACTTCTTTAACTTCATTATAAGCTAGATAATTATTAAACAATTCTTATCCACATTCATATATCTACTATATCTGCTAAGGTTTCTTTGGTTCCCTGTCTCACCATCACCCAGAAAAAATAGAGGTATTGGACCAGCATGGTCTATGCTGTTGTCTTTCCATGTCCTGCAGACACAGACAGAGGTCGAGAGACAGAAGATTGTGTCCGAATTTCGGCAGCTGCGCCGGTTTCTGAAGGACCAAGAGCTTGTCCTCCTGGCTCAGCTGGGAGAGCTGGACAGAGAGATGATGAGGAGGCAGAAGGAAGAGGAGACCAAGATAACAGGGGAGATTTCACTCCTCGATGTCCTGATCTGCGAGATGCAAAAGAAGCTTGAGCAACCTGTGAGCAGGTTCCTGCAGGTCAGATGCTATAACGGGCAAGACAGAAGACGGTCTGGCATCACCTTGGCTGGAGTCTTCCCCCAGTTTTGGGATGGGAGACTGAGGCTTTTTTCTCTCTCTTTCTATTCCAGGATGCCCGACGCACTGTGGACAGGTACGTGCTCTTCCACCACCCATGCCTCAATGGTGGGGAAGCCTCACAGGCAGCATCCCTGTGGTTTCTGGAACAGAGATGGACATTTTGACAGTTCAGGCAGGGCTTGAAGTGAGGCTTGGAGAGGTGTGGAGACAAGAAGGTGCCTGTGAAACCCAGTCTGGGGATGCCATGAGAGGAAGCACCCGAAGACTGGAGGTCTTCTTGGCCATCAGGGCAATGTGGACCCAACCGTCCTCCGGGACAGAGCTGGTTGGCACCTCCAAGCCTGAGACAGAGGGACATTTTGGGGACAGCCAGCTCATCCGCCGTCCCCAAATTGCCTGAGGTGCAGGGGGAGGTGGGATCATCCCAGCATCTCATGCCGTCACAACGAGTCCCATATCTAAGGGGAAAGGTTTGCATCCAGGGGGAAGATGGGCAGTGCCCAGAGGACGATGGAGACCTTCTCGGACCTGGAGCAGAGGCTTCATGTCATTTCTCAACAAAACAGTGTCCTCAGAGAGATGCTGGGGAGATTTCAAGGTACTGTGGAGCATGACTGTGTTGATGGGGGGCTATCCCCCCATTATGGGTGGGGGCAGTTCTGCCTGCTGCTGTTTTTCCTGTTTTCCCAGGAAAAACACAATGGGGTCAAGAGCAAGCAGAATTGCCAACTGGAGAGCATGATGTCCAACCTTTGTTCTTCATCCCCTAGATGTTTTGCTATCTGAACTGGAGAAAGAGCAAGGACCATCTCTAGGAGGAGATGGAAAAGGTGAGGCTCTTTGGAGGAGCAGCTGCAAATTAATTTTTAGCTGAAATAGTGTTTAAAATAGCTGGGAAAGGATGAGTTGAGCTCGCTTTGGCGTTCCTGAAGATACAAAGGAGCTCTGCCCAGTCCTCCAGCATGAGGCAAGGCTTTCCCAAGCAGGAAGATGTGGAGATGTTTCTGCTCCCAAGCCCAAGACATAGGCAGATGTGTGATGCTGGGGCTTGTCCCAGCCAGAGCAGGACTTTTTTGGGGGGTGATGTCCTCCTCCAATGCCACTTTCTTCTCCATCCCTCACAGCATTCGTGACTTTGGACCCTGACACAGCCAACACCCAGCTCATCCTGTCCCGGGACCGGCGGGCGGTGAGATGGACGGATGCAGGGCAGGATCTGCCCACCACCCCGCAGCGATTTGATGCCTCCTGCTGCGTTCTGGGCTGCCAGGGCTTCACCTTGGGGAGACACTGCTGGGAGGTGGAGGTGGCCAGAGGCAGGACCTGGGCACTGGGGGTGGCCCGACGCTCTGTGCCCAGGAAGGGCTGGCTTTTGTTTCAACCAGAGAAGGGGATCTGGGCGATGGGGCGATGTGGGAATCGGTACCGCGTCTTCAATTCCCCCATCACCACCTTCCCCGCCACTGGGGAAACTGGGAGGGTGCGGGTGGCTCTAGACTATGGAGGGGGGCAAGTGACATTTTACCTCGCCGAGCGTAAGCCCCCCATCTTTACGTTCCACAAAGCTTCATTTGGTGGGGAGAGCGTCTTCCCTTTCTTCTGGGTGGGGAGAGGCTCCCACCTCCGCCTCTGCCCATGAGCTTTCCCTGCCCTCACCCAGTCCAGCTTTGGGATGTTTTCTGATCATTGTGCACCTTTTTCCCTTTTTTTTTTTTTTATGATGTTGCAAGAAAATATCTTCTAGCAGAATTTGCTCAAAAAAAGGAAAAAAAAAGAAAAAATTGAATTTTCTTTCCTTGTTTAAAGTTGTCTGGTCGCTACCAGGGCTGTGGGAAGGGCCAAGCCCTGGGATGCAGCTCTGGGATGGCTCCAGGCAGGGAGTGGGATCATGTCCCCCTCTTTTCCCCAGGGAAAAGCTGGATTTTTCCTTCCTCCATCCTTCCTGGCGAGGATGTGCAAGAGAGCAGAGGGACCTGGGGTAGAAATGCAGGGAGCTGTGCATGCCCCACCATCACCTCCTTCCTTAGAGCAAGCCACAGCACGGAGCAAGAAGAGGGGTGCAGGTATTTGCCCCCCCAACCGTGAGGACCCGTTGGGCTGCAGGTGGGTCCAGAGCAGCTACAGGGGGATGGGATATTTCTTGCAGCCCTCGGAGCAGATCTGGGAGCCTTTTTCACCAGGGCACAGCTGCCATCAGTGGCAGAGCCCAAGCTGGGGAACCTGCAAGAGGGAAGAGAAGGTCCCTCTCCTTCATGGAGGGGGAGAGAAAAAGTTCCTGGAGGTCCCCCAGGAGCAGGACCCAGACTGTCTTTTAGGAACTTGGTGGCTTGGGGACAAACCCAAGGGATGCACTGGACTCACTGCTTGGTGTGAGGCACAGAGCCATCCAGGTGACCTTGTCCGGCATCACCATGAGCCCGATCCAGACTTGCGAGGGCACTGGGCACGAGCTGTTGAGCAGCTCTGTCAGTTCAGAGCCTGGGCTGGCAACCGTGCCAAGGACAGGACCTAACGCCGTGTGAAATGTGTTCATCTGATTCGTGTCAATATAAACAATGCTAGGGCCGCATAATAAAATGTGACCCTCACCGAATATGTAATCTTTAACCATTTTGTTGGTCCTCATATAACCGCAGGCCGGGAGGAAACAGATGATATGTATATAGTTCTTTTTTTTGCCAGCCCAAAACCGGTTTTGTTGTTAACTGCACAGTGTTAAACAAGAGATTCTAGGGGAGAACTGAGGCATTTGGATGTGTGTTTGGCCTCAGAGATTGCAGTACTTAGGGTCTTGACGGGCCATTCGTGGTATGCATTTGTTGAGGGGGAGGTGTCTGTTGTGAACTTGTTTGGGTTCTGGTGACCCCAGCTGGTGCTGTGCAAGGTGTCGGCTGTCACACAGCATGTCTGCTGTCTGGCACGAACAGGGGGGAGCCTGGTCAGAGATAAGTTTCTAGGAGAACTACTGCAGCCACACAACCAGCAGGTGGAGAGTCTTTTAGAAGAACACGCCTAGTATGAATATGTAACTAATGTTAGACTATAAAAGAAGCTGTTTTGTTTTTCACGGCGCGCGTCTTGGTAGAGTAGAGGCTCCAGGCGTGCCCAGTGCTGTTTGCTTGCCTTTATTCATTTAATAAATTGTAAACTTTGATTGGAATCCTGTTTGAGACTAAATTCATTTATCACACGCCGTGTCTGCAGTTGGGAGGACACCTCTTCCCAGGTCTGACCAGCTGGCTCTTTGCTTTGGCCGTAGGAGACCTGGCGCATTGTCTGGAAATGTCAGGGATTCTTGAAAAAAAGATGCAGAGACGGTGCCTTGAGGCACTGAAGCTCGGCAGCTCTGTCTTCCTCTGCCAAGCCTTTTTTATGGGAGATCTGGGGTCATTTCGCACCGAGGCTCTCCGGTTCTGTGCCTGGTCCCACAGCCCCTTCGGGACCTGTGATGCGTCTGGTATCTGAGCATAGAAAGAAATTCCAAACCTGGGGCTATTTTAAATCGGTATTTAGCAATATCTATTGTTGCTGCTGCTCTGGGGTTTGGTTTTGAACCAGAGCCGGGTGCTGCAGGGTGGGATGTTGCTGGGGCTGGGGTTGCCCCGGGTTGTCTATAGGACCACCCTGCTGTTCCAACCTGGGGGGGGTGGGGGGGTAGGACCCCCACCCCCTGCTCCTTCCAGACTCCCCCAGGGCTGGGTATGTGCTCCTCAAAACCCCTCGAGCTAGATACGGGCTCCCCCTGGTCCCCCTCCCCAGGTCTAGGTATAGCCCCAATGGCCCCCCCATAGCTGGGTATGACCCCCCCCTCCGACACCCATACCCGGCTATACCCTCGGACCCCCCCCTGCACCCCTTCTATTGTGTCCGGGCTCCCCGTGCGTGAGGATGGGACCCTGGGGACACGTCCTCCCCCGGGCTCTGAGGTCCCCAAGGTGAGAGGGCACAGCTGGGATGACCCCCGACACCCCCCCCAGCCCATCTTGTCCCCTTCTCTCCCCATTCTCCCCACAAGCTCCCAGCTGTTGTAGGGCTGCAGGGACACTGCTGGGCTCCTCCAAGATGTCCCAAAATCACAACGAAGCTCTGAGTTTTACAAATGAACATCCTTTTCCTTCCTTTCTTTTTCTCCTCTTTTTGTTTCCTAGGACTGAGGCGCTACTGCGTTTTACTCCAGAATAGACAAATATCCTGAAACGCCAAAAAAAACAACCCCAAGAGATGGACACAGTGGAACTGGCTCAGGTGGATGATTCCTCAGGGTCTGGTTGGGGGTTTGCTCATTCCTTCAGCGACAATGGTCGTACACAAGAAAATCAGCCCTTTTTGGGGAAAAGAAACACTTATTTACGGGTGCAAAACCTCACTTGATGCTCTGCCCCAGCACAGGCTGCTGGGCAAGACACAGCCCTGAGAAAAGCCACCTTCACCCCCTCCCATCCAGGCGGGCACAGGGAGGTTGATGATTTCCCTTTGGTATTTGTCCACGGGTCCTTCTCAGAGGTTTATTTTCAGGTCCACGAGTTTTGGTCTTTTCCTGGGAGGTCCTTGTTTTTCTTCCCCGATGCCCCACGCTCTCCTCGGTTGCTTGGGATGGGCTTGAGCATCCCTGCTTCTTCATCCCAGGACCTCTGGGGTCTTTTTTTGTTCTTCTCCCTCTTGTACCGTGAGGCTGTGGCTCCGGCCCCAGGTACTGAAGGTCTCTCGCTGCTGCCGCAGGAGCCTGTGACCTTCGAGGAGGTGGCCGTGTATTTCACCAAGGAGCAGTGGGCTCTGCTGGACCCAGTGCAGAGGACTCTCTACCTGGACGTCATGCTGGAGAACTACGAGGCCGTGATGTCTCTGGGTAAGGAGTCCTGTCCCTTCGGTGCTGGAGCCGAGAGCTCCTGAAGCTTTGGCTCGTGGCCCTTTCTGTTGCAGATGCTCTCAATTTTCAGATGGTTTGAGCTCTGCAGTAAGACAGACCACCTCCTTGGTGCTCCTCCTGGGAGACAGACCGAGGAGGAACACTGAGGAAAAGCCCTTTTTTCTTCTCTTCTGTGTCATTTTCCAGTGGATGGAAATATCTGTCTTCCCCGCAGGGATCTTTTCCCTTTTCCTGGACTAGCTCCATCCCAGTGATTGGGTTTGGGCCGATGTTTGCCCTCTGCAGGGCTTGGGTGGAGGACACACGTTCACCCAGGCACCTGGTGGTCTGGATGACCGTACCACCATCCTTCCTACCCTGTGTCCCCCAGGAAGTTCAAATTTCTTTAACTTTCCAAATACTCTACAATTCGCAAGTCCCTCATGCCGTTATCTCCTGATTTCACCCTTCGGAACAGGTCTTCCCACAGCCAAGGTAGACTTGCTCACCCAGATGCAAGAGCGAGGAGAGCGCTGGAGCCCTGGTCTTCAAGAAATGGAGAAAAAAGAAGCCCTGAGCAGCAGACGCGCAGGTGAGGATGGGGTGCCTGTGCTCCTGAGCACCTACATCAGCGCACGCTATTATATCCTATCAAACCCACACCAGGATTTTAGCCAAAGGGTGACAGGTCCTACGAGGAGATACAGCTCCAGTGATCTTGACTTGGAAATAAGAATAAATTTCCTCTCCCTTGATTTCCCCTTCTTCCATCCCTGGGGAAGCAGGGTGCTGCACCCCCAGCCAGTTTTCCTGCCTGGTTAATCAGCTTTTTCTACCCCTTCCCCTTGATGTTATTTCTGCCTGGCCTGAGAAATAACCCGTCTGGCTTCTCTCTGTGTCACAACCAGGGTTAAGGTGGAAAATAGAGAGCGGGACAGTTTGCAGAAGAGGCAACGCTGATCTCAGAGAAAACCCAACCCAGGAGGACCCTGCAGAAAGGCAGCACACCCACACCGAGCCTGGACAAGAGGGTGGCCGGAGCAGGGACTTAATTACACCCCCGAGAGACGACGCGGGAGAGAAACCTTTCAAGTGCCTCGAGTGCGGGAGAAGCTTCACGCGGAGCTCGGACCTCATTGTCCACCAGCGAACCCACACAGGAGAAAAACCCTACCAGTGCCCCGAGTGCGGGAGATGCTTCAACAGGAGCTCCAGCCTCGTGATGCACCGGAGGATGCACACCGGCGAGAAAACGTACAAGTGCCTCGAGTGCGGGAAAAGCTTCACGCGGAGCTCGACGTTGACCACCCACCAGAGAACCCACACGGGAGAAAAGCCCTACCCGTGCTGCGAGTGCGGGAAGCACTTCAGCAAAAGGTCAAACCTCATGAAACACCAGCGGCAACACACCGGAGAGAGACCATATCGATGCCCCGACTGCGGGAAAAGCTTCATACAGAGCTCAGATCTCATAGTCCACCAACGAACCCATACGGGAGAAAAGCCCTACCAGTGCTTGGAGTGTGGGAAACGCTTTGGCGTGCGATCCAAGATGATTCAGCACCAGCGCGTGCACACGGGGGAGAAGCCGTACACGTGTGGCAAGTGCGGGAAGAGCTTTGGGCAGAGCTCGCACCTTTCCGTGCACCAGAAAACTCACAGAGGAGAGAAATCGGTCCTCCGGGTGTGGAAGGTCATTCAGTGTGAGATCCTGCCTTGTTAAAGATCAGAAGTTGCGCGTGGGATGTGGGTGTATAGAACATCTGAGAGCGCGTGCTTTGCGTCTAAACGTCTGTTGAATGCACACGTTGTAGGTGTGTTTGCACCTACAAAAGCTGGGAAAAGTCATGCAGTGAAAATGAAACTCCCACCAAAAATGAGCTGGTCTGCGTGCAAGCGGGACTATTAAATATTTCAGAGGGTGGGTCAGGGAGGAAGCGCTAATTTGTGTGTGGAGGGTGGTTGGGCTCGCCGAGGGCAGTGGGCTTTGTACAACCTGCATGGATCTTGTACTGAAATAGGCCAGTTTGTCCCTAGAACACCAGCTCTTCGGTGGTCCTCATGTTCCTCATGACGTTCGGCCGGCTGGCGCGTCTCCTCCCATGTCTGAACCCCTCCAAGCGATGCCGGTAGGGACCCAGGTTTTGGGTGAAGGAACCAAAAGCGGGGAAACAAAACAAGAAACCACAACCCACAGCCCACGCGTGCCTTGGGGGCTGCCGAGGTGGAACGAGCCGTGTTTCATGTTGTTTGGGTGCAGGAAGCCTCGGACAGGCAGCACCCTCGCCGTGGACAGAGGCGCAGGGTGATGCAGGGGCAAATAGCACAGGCAGGCTCATGCCTGCACTCCTTAGGGTGGATTAGCTCTCGTTACATCAGAAACATCCTGGAAAGACCTTTGTGGAACCATCCAAACCAGGATAATGGGATGGTGGGGACCTCCCTAGCAGACATAGCCCCAGCCTCTCCTCAGTCTGGGGAGGGAAAGAGCCGTCCCAGTAAATCCAGATGCTGGGAGCTGCTTCGTGAGGGTTAAAGGAGAGGCGCTTGCTATGGGTCAGGTGGGAGGATGGACACGGTGTCCGAGGGCAAGAAGAAACACCTTGGGGAACGTTTGGGTTTGCACCTGATGGCTGTTATTTTCCCCTATATTCCCCCCTGAAAAAATTCCCAGAAAGCACAAAAGAAGGTTATTTCCTCCAGTAAAGATCCCTGCCTTTCTGCAGGTGTCTGTTGTTTCTTACATCCCTGAACTCCTCCAGATGTTTAACCCTACCGTTCAGCGAGACGAAAGGCTTTTCATGGCACTGGTGAGACCACGTCTGGGTGCTGGGTCCAGTTTGGGGCTCTGCGGTGCAGTGAACCCCGTGGATGGTCAGAGTGGGGCCGCAGCACTCCAGGCAGGATTACAGACACCCCACAGTCCCATCCAGCCTAAATTATTCCCCGATTCTGTTCATAGTCACTTCAGGGTGACTTCTAACGCTTTTAAATCTCACTGGCTCCCGCCTCCCGTGCGGTGCCGGCGTGCCTCTGGCAGCCACCCACGCCAAGAAGCCGAGCTGAGGTGACCCTGGCGAGTCCCAAATTATACAGGACTGACCCACCGCACCCGGTACAATTGGACCCCAGAAGTTGGGCGACCACCAGCCCCGCTCAGGCGGTAACTTCTGTCCTCGCCGGAGGACCGGGTGGGAAGAAACAGCGAAGGGCACAAATCCGCCTGCCCCCCCCCACTGAGTCCGGCTGCTGCTCAACCACCAAATCCCTTCCGGAGAATATTAACGAGAAGGAAAAGAAAAAAAAAAATAATTACAATAAAAAGGCTCCGAATCCCATCCGGGGCTGCTGGTGGCCTTCTTCCCCGGCTGCCAATACCCCCCCATCCCCAACTT